ACGTATAGAACATATCTAGGGAAACCTGAGGGCACAGGGAATGCCAAATCAATTTTGTATTTCACACTAAAATTTGCCTTTAGCTCTTGCTTGCAAATGTTTTACAGCTACACGCCTGCAAGTCTCCACACTGTAAGAATCTCATCATATACCCTTATGAATACTTTTGCCTACTGACCATAAGATAAAATCTTCCCCATGTGAATCTTGGTATGCTTTGTCACAGCCCTAGAAAGGACAAAAATTGTCACAAATTCTCAACTGAAATTAATTTCCTGCTTGTCTGCAAAGATCAAGGACACAAAGGCATAAGAGCCCCACCTCCAGCATTCACCCAGGGAAGCTTCTGATGCCAGGACTCCCACGCAGAGGTGGAGCTAGTATGTTCACAATTACTTTCCATTCCCATAAGGTACATTCAAGTTTCTCCTTTTAGAGACAAGATGCAGCTCTGGGTCCTTCTTCCTAGAGACTTTCCAGGGGAAATGAATGTTTCCATCTGTTTCAGAAAAGTCTCTAAGTCTTGTGATGCTACCTGAAGCACTACCAAGTGGTCACACCTGACCAGGCATCCAGCCTTGAGCTTTCGCATGCAGTAGAGGATAACAGAGGAAAGTTGCAGAGAAAAGCCTTGTTATGGTTGAGGCAGAACTGCTCAGTTTTGTTTTGTGGTGGCAGAGAGGACTCTCAGGCTTGCTATCTGGAAAGCAGGACAATCTCAGAGGGAGAGGTCCAAGAAAAAGCTCCATATGCCTGAAGAAAACCCTGGGAGAATTTGAGATGCCTCAGCCCAAGAGAACAATCACAAAAAGCCCCAAACACACCAGGGAGAACCTTCTACTGCTTGCATAACAGCCTAGAGGTCAGGGTTCTTGCTCTGGAAATAAGAGCACTTTAATGCCCTTCTCAGCTGAAAAGAAATAAATCAGTGATTTCAATGCAACTTAGTAGGCTACAGAACTGTGTGGAAAAGGAACAAAGTCCATCTCTCTTTTTGAAACTAGGTCAGTACAAGTTGAAGAGTGACATGACTAGAAGGAGATGAAACACAGGGGAGCTAGAGTCTGTAGTCCTCAAGTTAGGCACTTAGCTGGGAGTGTAATCTCAAAGCAAAAGAGGCACGGGAACTAGTCCCATAAAAATATATAAGGTCTTTGGTGGCCAGAGTTCAGAACTCCCTGATATAACAGTTCATTTTTCACTGTCCCCATCCTGTTCACTGTGGGCTCTGCATCTGCAGTGCTGCAGCATGTGACATCTTTGCAGCCCATCATAACTCAGTGTCAAGAACAGTTAATCAAAATTTTCAGGTTACTAAAGCCAAGGCTGAGGCCAGATGTAAAACAAGCAAATGGAGTTTCTAGGTCACGTTGGTCTTCATTTGCAACTCCCAAATCTGAAAAATAAAGGGCCTGAGAACTTATGTCCACGAAGACTGCAATTAAGGATGAAAAATGAAAATGGCTTGTTACAGGAAAAACACTTATAACCTCCTTCATGGATCACTGTTGCATATCCAGAGTTTGGATGGTGTATTTCTCGTAAAAAAACATACTTTCTCAATGAGAAATCCTCTCCCAAGCTGTACCTTTGCAGCAGTAGCATTTTTGAGCTGCTCCACTAGTTCTCGACCATGTGTTACTGATGAGTACAGAAAAGAGAAAAGGAGGCCATGATGAGCTTTCATCTTTTTTTAGTCCCTGCTTGACTTCATAAAGCTATTGCCCTGTCAGACCTTATCCTTCCCGAGAGCCTCAGGGCACTTCTGAAAGATTATACAGTCCTCTCTTTGAACTTGTGCAATCATCTATGCTTTATTTTCCTTTAAAAATGGCAAGTGGGAAATCAGTTGTCCTCCTGTTCCGATTTCCTCCTGCCTGTTGTTTCTGAGGGAGGAGGCCCCTTTTAAGAGAGATGCAAAGTGCTAGCTCCAGAACTCCCATTGCCTATAATGGAATGGAAGGGCTGAGATCCAGGCAACCCTTTGAACATGCAGGATGCTTCTCTGTAATGCAACATTCAGTACTCATACTGCGCAGAACACCAGGTCTGCTTTTCAAACACAGACTTCTGAAGTATGAGGTATTCAGGTAACGTAGTAGTAACACTGCCTGCCTGTTATTTGCTCTGAAATTCTCAATTGCAGTTAGCATGTGTCTTGAAAAATTCATTCTAGTTGAGTCTGCAGTGTCAGATAAGGGACATGTTGCTCTGACTGTGAGTCAGAGGCTCATTATCTGTGGCACTGCGCACAGACAATGAAAGTTGTATGTATGACAGCTCCCTTACTGAAGTGCCAGGGTTATTGTACTGCGTGTAAAGTAACAGGAAAGAAACTCTCCAGGTTCCTTTTTCTTGCAAGTTTTTTTTTAAGTAAAGACATGTTTGAACCAAGACATTCCTGCTTCTTGTAGCTGCCAGTTCCTGTGCACAAGATTCAATGTTTTTCTTGTACTTGCTATAAAATGCCTCATCAAAGCCTTCTGTGCTCTGTTATAGCTGTTTCATTATTTATTATGGTAAAAATATGAATTACTGAACTTCAGCCTTGGCAGATAAGTGAAATGGGAATGAACTTTCAGCTCTTTGGTTTCAGAAGGTAAATCTCTGGTGGAGCTTGCACACATGGTTGGAACAGTTCCCCACGTTTACACTGGCACAGCTCCACCGACTGCCGCCGCACTGCCCCGATTCACACTCCAGCAGCAGGGAGTTATAAACTGAGGGGCCTGAGATAGCTGTAACATTTTCATACTGCATGTCCAATTTTAAAACAGCAAATTTCCTTCCATAGGTGAAGGAAAAAAAAAAATTTTTCTCTTTTGGGTTATTAAGGGGGAGTTGACCAGAGAGAGAGGAAGGAGCTGCAAGCGATGCACTGAGGCTGACCCTGGAAGAAAGAGAGGTTAAATAACAGTATAAATACCCATTGGCTCTTGAACCAAGTCACACACTGCTTCTCATATGGAATTCTTTTACATAATGCCCTGGCAAGAAGGAGCTCCTTTTTAACTTGGTTTCCCCAGGAAATGTAACGTGTACGTTCACACAATCTGCCTGTCACATCTCCTCCCAAGCCTTCCTCTTGCCACCTGCCATTTGTCCACTTACTGACATGTGACAGAGCAAGTTCAGAAGTGAAACCTGGTAGTTGTATACAGGAGAGATGACTGCTTGGCCTCCCCAATGGACAAAGACAACAGCGTCCACTGGAGGGGGGGCTCTTGCCACTGGAGCTGCACAAGGGCAGGAGCCTCCACTCTGCCAGAGGAGACCCCAGGCACCCAGGGATGCCACAGGAAGGAGCAACAGCACTGGGATGCAGGAAGGAGCTGGGAGGGGTAAGCGGGCCGTGGGAGAGAAATTCATAGGAAACCACCCTCCGTGAGCTTCACCGCACATAGGAGTTGAGCCTGACACGAGGCAGGCGCTGAACTAAAGAAAGTCCTTTAAAGAAGCAGATGTGTTCTTTCCAAAGTATCTGCTAGTAAAATAAATTAAACCAGTTAAATTAAGTTTCCCCGTCAGCATCCAGCAGTACAGCTCAGCCTGATTTACCAGTCTGCTTAACAGCAGTAGGCAATGTAAAACTAGCATTTCCTAATTTAAGATGGTTGATTTTAGGGTCAATTGACATAGTGTATGCTGATCTCTGCTTTTAAAAAGAAGAGAATGTGAAGGTGTCTGCTTGCCTTTGGAAAAGGAAATAAATATTAACTTATCCACACAATGTGTAAGCAGATCTAGCCCTGTTGCAGGAAACTCATTAATCTCACATGGAAAATAAATAAACTAGGAGAGAAAAGGATGGGTGGGATTTTAACTTCCTCTATTTCCGCTAATCGTTATTTTATATGAACAAGTGCATGCCAAGGTTTTTAAGAGGAAAATTACTGCAAAGGACAAATAATTTTGTTGAGTCTTTTAAAAGCTTTTTGGTGGAGGGATAATTTAGGGTGGTGTTGGGGAAACTCACCTGTTAAATGCTGCCTGATAATTCCCACTATTAGACCACATTTTCCATTGCTGATGCCACTGTCAGACTTGAGACATCAGGACTCACATTTTCCATGGCAGGTGTCTGCCTAAGGCTGGATACATGTGATGCATGCGTGTGTCTATCAAGGACTGCCTCAGGCTAAGTGTGTATAATAATTTCAGCCAAAATGTTTTTGCTCTTCAGCAACTATAAGAAAAAATGTGCTGTTTCCCCTGTTTGCCTCACACTATAAAGAATGGCAGCCTCTTCTTCAGGCAGTCCCAAAGGCCCTGTACGTTGGAGGAAAAGCATGAAATTTGGCAGGAATGCTTTAACCACACTGGAAATCCACCTCAGCTCAGCTGAATTATGAACCTGAGCAAGACCAGTTTGGTCTTGATAGAGCTTCACAGCTTTGTGTTTCAAAGAGCCTGTGCTAGTGTAGGGCTGACCAAGGTTTTCTTCAGCTAGTTTCTCCTTTGCCCCTTTGGACCCTGCTCCTCATCTGGGGCAATCCAGAAGAAATGGTCACCCAAGGAAAGGACAGGCTGGAGAGGGAGAGGTGAGAAAAGAGAAGAAACAAGAGCACTCTAGACAGAGACCATGGGACAAGGGAGAAAAGTTGAGACAAGAAGTCCACTGCACCCACAGTCAGTGACCACACCTGTGCCACAAGATAAGATACCAGCAGTTTTGTTTGCTGATGGGGAAATGTAGGTGGTCACTGACACAGCATTCAGAATTACACAGCTTTGAGAGTGGCAGAAAGTATAGTTCAAGCTCATTTTCAGCCATGGAAAGGTTGGAATTTCAAGTCATAGCCATATTTAAAAAAATGAGCATTGGGAAATTGGCAGTCAGCCCTTATCTTCCATAAAAATATGACTCTACCTGAAAACAGCCATTATTGGTGTTCTTGCTCTTCCTTTACAGGTGGGAGATAGAGTTGATTAATGCCTCAAAAATTCAAATACTTACTGAAGTGCATTTATATGGCTTTAGATGTTGGTCTTTCCCACAGACGTCTGTGACCAGGATAACCAGCACTTCTACAGTCATCCATGTATTAGTCAATAACTTTCCAGCATTCTAGATCTGCTCTCACATCATTTGCAAAATCAGAAACGGAGGATAAACACAGTGCGCACTAAGTGACTACCAGTTCTCCCTTGGAGCCCAGCAGTTTATTCTCTGATCGCTAAAGCAGCTTATAGCAGAGTAATTTTCATGGTGATCACCAAGCATACCCTGCCAGAATGTGGCTCTTTCTTCAGATTAATCCATAATCTTTGGCAGTCTGGAATTGTTAATAGTAGCGATTTCTAACAGCAAAATATCGCTATAACTATTCTTTCAGGTTTTATGACATCCATACCAGTATGTCCTAAGGACCCCGAAAGTCACTTTTCACAATCCAGAGTTATATTTCTATAAAGATGTAAAGCTTTAGAATATTTGTGAGAAACAGAGAACTTTAAATTTAAGGTAAGAATTAAATTACTGAGAATGGCAATTTATGATCATAGAATGGGTGCAGCACTAATTTGGACAAATGTGTTCCTGATAAGAATATGGGCTGGAAAAGCAAATGAGAGGCAGTGTGAAAGAGACACAGCAATCAAATTAAAATAGCAAATAGCATATGACCACAGGATAGCTTTTTTACAGTATATATTTAAGAGAGCAGGCATGGGTTAGCTGAATTGCTCATTTGGATGGCAAATACTTGCAATCCAAATCTCCATAAAATTCTGGCATTAGGATTCAAAGTTGGGAGGCAGGAAGGAACTTTCAGGGGTTGCAGCTTGGGGAACAAACACTGGGACAGCACAAGACAAAAAAGGAGGGCACGCATGTCATATTTATTGGTCCGTTTCTGCTTTCATATTGGACAAAGAAGTGGCCACAGTACAACTCTCTCTACACCAAGGATGTGTAACTGTGATTCCCCCCATTTTCCACCCATGCAAAACTCTGATGGAAGCTTTTATGATGGTTTGGGTGCTGACAGACATTGCTCCTCAGAACAGATTCCCTGACATCTAATAACAGCTGAGCTTTTGTAGCTTTTTGGTGTGCGGCTGCCAATTTTGATTTCTTTATCAGCCACCCGCTTTCACAAAATTGAACTCACCTCTGAGTAAATTCAAACTTACCTTTGAGACCTGTATCAACCCTGACTGAAACTTGCTAACAAATCCAAGAATTATTTGGAACAGCCAGGTATCTAAGCCTTGATTCTTTAGAAACTAAATAAAAAAAGAAAGAAACTGGAAAGGGAAAACGAAAGAAACTAGACATTAGAAAATCTTACAATATTTTGTATGTACTGAGAAACTGAATTGGGTTAACCCAAGCACATCAAAGGGTAAAAGTCATTAGGATACCTTCAGAAGTCTGCAAAAGCCTCCTCCTCCACTCAGCTATTTCAAAAGCTTCAGCACAGGGGAGGTTCTGCAGCTGTGGAGTGCAGCTATTACACAGTCCTGTGCTCTGCAGTAATTTTCTGCATGCTGACGGGAATGGAACAGCAAGAGGTTTGAAGTCCAAAGTAATGCAACCAGTGAATCCTGGCTGCAATGGATCTTCCATCTGAAAATCCTATGTCTCAGCAGTTTGTAACTGGTTTTGACACCAATGGATCATTACTAAATTCTACTTTGATGAAAGCTACCTAACCAAAACACCACAATAACAGTCACTCTAAAGTCACATACTTAGATTTTGCAAAACTGTTTGCAAAAAGGACTCTTCTCTGTAATGCCTGAATGTACAAAATGAGCATGTAATATTATCTGGATGCAGTTTAAACTAACATATATGTATTTATTGTTCCAGCTATTTTGGGGTAGGGAAAGGAGTAGAAAAAAGTTACCTAGCGAGCTGGATATGACTACATTGGAATTAAGTTTTCTGTCTTTAATTTATAATTTAAACAATGAACTGAAATGAACTATAAGTTTTTGATCTCCGTCTTGAGGATCTCTGTGAACAGTATGTGATAATATACAGTGCTGAGACCACAACAGAGGAACTGGAACTTTTACTCAGGGGTGCATATCTCTTTGATTCAAGCATAAATGTTTCTTTATTTATTAAAAGCTGGCCTGGGGAAATAAAGAATTCTGGAGAAGAAATTATACATATTTCTGATCATGTTGTTATCTGTCTGAAGAACAAACTACTATTCCCAAAACAAAATCAGGTAATTAAAAGTTATGCTTTGTGACTCCAGGATTTGAAAAGGAAAAATCACATGGCAACTAGTTAATGTCTACATGATTACTTTCTCAGGGTTAAAGTATTTATAGCCACAAACATATACATAACCACATAGCCACATATATATACAAAACCAAGAAAACAGCCTAAGGGAACACAAACAAAACCCCACCGCCCAGCACCTTAACTGCAGCATCTGCAAGCCAGCAATCATGGAATACTTGATGAAGTGCTTAAGGCTAGGAAGGCTGATAATGAGATTTCTTTTAAGTTCATAGTGCTGTACATTAAAGAGACACTGCCAACCTGATTCTGAAAGGAAAAACATTACATTGCACACACACACTGTTTTTGTTTTTATAGAAGAGTCTTCATCAGCCTTTGCTGGTGTCTAGAAAAACAGGTTTAGTAAGCAGCATACTTGGTCCACAAGTTTTCCCTCAATATTTTTGCATTTTATTTGTCTTTCGTAACACTTCAGTTCTGATGCTGTGTCTGGTGAGTGCCCCAGCGAAGAGAGTGGTTCTGAGCTCCCACCCAGTCAGTGCAAAAAGCAGGAGCTCCCCAAGATAGTACCCTAAGCAGAATATACTAAAGGCCATCTGCACAGTGACAGTGACTGCTGCAAAGTACAGCATAAACAACCTGGAGCCAGATGATAGTTCCACCTCTCCTCTCCCTCTGGTCTGTTCAGTGATAGAAACCACCCCATTATTTGCTGCAAGATTAGATATGGTGTTTCCACATGAAATACCAACCTGAAGAAAAGTCTAGTTGACTTTCTTTAAGTCTACCTTTAAATCCTTTTTTATAAACCCAAATAATATTTTACTGGTGCAGAAGCCTTATACAGAGGGACTATAACCTTTCTTAAAAAACAGCATACGTGTAGTCTTAATGCTTATCCCAACATAGCTGCTTCCAGGAGATTCTTTGCAAAACTGTCCTTTAGCCCTTTCTGTCAATCTTTCCTATTCTTAATGGGAGTGAAATGGTAATGCTGGCATATTCCAGCTGCCTGCATGGACTAGTCTGAATTAACTTGCCTGTTTTTAATATCTCCTGTAATTTTTTCTCAACACCCCCTGGGATGAGAAAGAACTTGAGCTGACAAACAGGTAGAGCATATACACAAATCTGTATTCAGGAAAAAATACAGTCAAACAATATTAATGTTGCACAGTCAGTAATTAAAACTTGGCAAAGCTAATTTTGTAATTTTAACTTTTAACATAGTTTTTACTTACAACATCACATATTTGTTTTTCAATCCTGATGTGGGTGATGAATCAGTTTCTGAACCAAAAGTGTCTGTTGTCTGCCAGACCCTTGTTCCCATTGCTGCTGAAACTGGAAAATGAACAGTGAATGACACAGGCGACTGCATGAAGAAACAGGACTGCTTCACAATTAAAACAGCAGAATGTTGTCCGGGAGGAATGGGGTCTGTTCTGCTTCTGCTAGAGAATTCCAGCAGAGGAGTTCTTATTGTGTTAATCTTTAATTTCATACCCATCATTTTGGGTGGTGACTTGACAACCTACAATTTGATTTGGAGACACACTCAAACAGCTGTAGCCCAGGAAGCAGAAACTGCTTTGAACATACAGAATGATACATAGCACTAGGTACTACCAGGAAAAAAAGAGATCTTAAGAATCACAAACGGAAATTAAGGGATACTTTTAATCTAGCTTAATATGCAGGTTTGACAATGTAATGCTGTAATTGCTACAGAAACTGGAAAAGAAGTGTTAAGCACTGTCTGTCCCTCTCCACATCTGTATGATGCTGCAGGGCTGCAGATGCCCGTGTCATGGCAAAAAGCTACTGAAGACAAAGGTGCTACTTCAGCAGCATTTCCTGGCTCTCTCCTGAGCTGCAGACACCCATGCCTGGAGCTGGCAGGACAGACACCATCCCTGGCATCCCCTGGTAGGGTCTCGTGAATGGTGTTTTGTCAGATTTCCTGCTGGAATGAAACATCAACACCACCACAACCGCCAAATATGTTAAAAAAGACTGTCAAAAGAATGAGAAAAGTGTTGCTGACTTCAGCTCACAGTAACCCCAGTACCATCTGACACACCAATCCACTGACAAAACCTTCAGTCATCCTTCCTCAAGGAGTATCAGTGGCAACTGAGCTGTTACTCTGCTAGTCATTTTCATGGCGCTACAGGCCACAAACCCACCCCTGGACTTCAGAAGAGTGATTTCCACAACAATCTGTGCTAGCCTTACTGAAGGTTTGTGTCTAAAAAACACCATACATAAGAGATTCTTGAATGCTGATAGTACCTGGCTGACATGTAGTTGCAGAGAGAAATGAAGACTGGCGTCAGGTACGCCAAAGGCTGTGTGGCATACAACCTTCTGCACAAAGAAAACCTGGAGACAGCTGGAGTTTTTGTTAAACACAATCCAGAGTAAGAGGATCAGCCTAGCTTTTGCACTCAGAGTCATGATCAGAGCAGGAAGGTCAGGAACTATTTCCAAAATAAACACAAGAGTCCATCCAAGAAAGCAGCACTAAGTATAATAATAATAATCTGCTACTTGTTTGATGAGTGCTGTGGCCTGTAATACATTCGGATTTCACCATTTAATCTTGTCATTATTATTATCATTGGTATATTAAAATCAGTAAAAGCCTTATCGCTACCTGAGATAGTCAAAACGCATCTGCCTAATATCTGGCATCAGAATGCAGCCAACAGCCTGACCACCAAGTTGTGGCAAACAGAGAGCAAGTAAAAATCACACTAAAAGATCTAGAGGATCCACCCTGGAAAAGATGCATATGCAGCAGGTGACTTCAATTCACCATGCCAGTGACACAATGCCACTTCCAGGTACTCCCACTTCCAGCAACCCTTTCCCCCGTGGGTTCCCATGTACATCCCTGCCAGAGCCGGTCGAGTGGGCACAGCTCGGTGTCCCTGGCAGTCTGACATCACCAAGAGGAGCTGCAGCAGCCAGCCGGGAGAGTGAGTGCTACAAGCGTGAATCCTGTGTTCAGGCCTGACCGCTGCTCCTGTCCTAGGCTCCCTCTTGCCTTTTCAGAGTGTACAACTAGAGGCCTTTGATGGAAAGATGATCATTTTGGCTGCTTTTTGTTTTGTTGCAACTGTTGCCTTATTTGTTTTATTCACCAACATTCATTAAAAAGAACCCCTCGTATTCAAACTCCCAGCTGAGCCTGCACTCCACGTCTCCTTGCCTAGGTAATCTGAACTCCTCTGGACTTTTCTGCTTGGTTCTCTCCCATTTGAGACTGCTCCCTCATCCACTTGCCAGCACTAGCCACCTCCGCTGGTTTCTACTGCCAGTCCCTTTCCTGGAACTGCATTCTCAGTTCACCTTCCCTCTCCATCCCAGCTTCTCTATCAGTTTCTTTTGCTTGTGCCTCAGTTTCTTGGGCAGTTTGTCTCCTCCATCCTATAGTCACCTCCATCACTCTTTTAGCCTACAACCCTAATATCCTTGTTCTGGATCCTTAGTCTCTGTCAGTAGTCATTTCCTTTGGTAGCTTCAAAACAGTATTCCTGACCTGCCAGTCCTGAATACCTGCCTTCTCTGCAAGTCCTGGTTTTCATCCCACATGCTCCTATTTCCAGTACAGCCTGCTGGTTCTCCACAGCAAGGCCTTAGACCTGGCTCTGAATCAGACAGCCTCTTCCTTCACATTGCCTAGATGCCAACAGAAAGGTCACTGAAAGCACAGAAAAGTGTCACTGCTCTCCCTTCGTTGCTTATCTCTGGCTCAGTGTGCAGCAGCAGGAAACGACCATTATTCAGAAACTCTGTTTCCATCATGTCATCCCGGGCTGCAGCATGTGCAGTGGCTTTGTATAGAGAGCGCATGCCCAGGCTAGGAGCTGAGAGGGGCTGGAGTGCCTTAGTTGAACTGTGGGAATGATGCACGAACAACAGGACTGTAACTGTGAGAGGCATAAGCTTGCTCTGGGACAACAGCTTGCTCTTTACCCTTAAGCAGTAGCAAGTGCTGAGATTTAAAATACCATAAAATTTGGCCAAATAAGAGTAGATTTTCTTGGGTGCAGTGAAAAGTACCTAACAAAAGCATTCCTTGCTCAATTTCAAAGCAAACTTTCTCCATAAAAAGTTTGATTTTCTTTTTTCCTATTTAAAACCAACATAGCTTTCCTACATTTAATTTCAGAAAATATTAAACACTTTGATATTTTCTCAGGTCAAGAAAAACATGATGCAGACCATCAGTATTGACTTCTCCAGTCTGAATCAGCGTAGCCTGGCACAAACAGCTGAAAGCTAGATCTTGTGTCAGAAATGTCAAAACCTGTGTAATAGGCTGTATGGGCTCTTTAAAAACTCAGCAGAGCTTCTCACCCTACCTTGTGCATGTGTTGGGAATCAGCTGAAGGGCTGATTCCCAGCAAGCAGATTTAAATAGGTTTCCAGCTTAGGGAGAGAAATGGATGTTTGTCTCTTAGAGGAGCTGTTCCCTCCCTCTCATCCCCCTCCCTTATACGTGCACGTACACTCACACAAAAAGAGCAAAATGGGAATAAAGGTACTCTCCAGGCGAAAAGACCATCCCTCTATAGAGACAGAAGAGCACTTTTGGCAGACCTGAACGGCACTAGAGTTTAAGTGAGTTGAAAATAAAAGACAGATAATGAGATTTTGCTCTAGATCGGCTGGCTTGTGCTGGCAGGCAGCAAGCAGAGCCAGCCTGCTTACAATTTGCCCTAGATGAGCTAACCAAAAATAGAAACCAAGAATCACAGTGCCTTATCCATTCTAGAGAGGTAAAAATGTTGACTTGGAAAGACCACCACTCAGAGACAAAATGACAGTTCTGAGTTGCAGTCACATGCCGTTCTCTCAGTCATGTTAAGAAGGTATTAATCTTTCAGTTGCAGAAAGAGCAGAGCTCCTAACTCAGCCTTCTGAAGAGCTGGCACATGAGGGGTCTATGGAAGGAAGAGTATGGCATTCACCAGCTCTGGTCAGACTTATGGTCCCTATTTCTGCTGATCTTGAGTGGCTCATAATCTTGTTGGGTCTAAATCACCTTTCACAAGTAGGCAGAGAGAAGGAGCCCTGGGAAGTGTGAGAAATAACCGCTTCACTCAGGAAGGAAGAATAGGTTTGCCAGTGGGTTTATGCAGAAGACACTCATGATCCATTTCTTGTGGGTGTGAGCTTTGCTGCAGCCTGAGCTCAAAGCACCTCTGCTTGTACTCTGGAAGAAGTAAACCTGAGACTATCACACTACTTCCCACAAGGCATTTGCCTGTGCTTGAATCATCCAGAGACAATGACAGATGCTAAGGCACCTGGCACATATTAGGAAGCTGTAAACCTTGCGCTGTTGTGGCTGCCTGGTAAAGACTAAGTGCAACACAGCTGGGTGCAATCTTGATATTAAGGGTAAGCTTGACCATACCTTGCTAGGTGTAAGAGGATGGTGTTGCTTTTGCTAAGTCCTGGAGGAAACTGTATATTATTTTCTGGAGTCTTTCTTGATATCTGGAGGAGTACATGGTTCTTAGTTTTTGTTCAGCAAACCAGGTAAACATTATTTTAACAATCTGATACAGAGTAAGTATGATTAATAATGACTGATAGCAGCTGGATTGATAATGAGTAATAAGCACTAATTTTTCAGCCTAGAAAGATGCCTCTCTACTACTCACTAAATGCACAAGTGCTAGAGTTTGGGTGTCATGGCTCCTGCAACTTTGTTTAATTACAGAGACACCCACAGGTTTGGTAACTTTTGCCTGTTCTGAACTACCATCTCCCCAGTTCTGATACTCCCTAATTTGCAGCCACATACATAGCAACATTTGTGAACTGGGAGGGCAAAGTTAACTCCAAAGCAAATCTCTTTCCTTTGGAACAGACTGTGTGCCAAAGGCACTCAGTGTCAGCCACCCCATTTTCCTGTCAGCATAATATCACTGATTTATTAGAGAAATTTTAAACTCAGAATATGCCACAAATGTATGCCAGATTGTGAAAAAAAAAATACACATCTCCCTCTTCATTACTAGGTGCTGTGCTTTTGTGAGATTATAGATGTATATTTAGTGTTAATCTTGGTGTCGTGTCTGTACCTCAGCAGTTGGCTCTTTTCTAATGCATTTTGTAAAGGTTAAACTCTGTAGTGCAAACTGTACACGATAATTTATGATAATACTGGAGGGCAATCTGTTTTCCACTCTATAGCTGCACACTGCCCAAGGGGAAAGGAGCAGCGGGCTGTGCTTGTTGCCTTAGCTCTGGTTTGCACAGGTGTTCAGCACTCTGCCTTCTGGCTGCAAAAGGGGATTAGACAGGGTTTAGGGGAGAAAATGTAGGGAAATGAGAGCAGGCAATCAGATGGCAAATTAAAATGAAGCTACAGCTGCTTATTGAACCAAATTCTATTCTTCTTCAAACTTCTCCTGTCTGCCATTCAAAACCACATCTGAGACTGATGGATCTCATTCCCTAGCTTCTGACTTTGATCTCCCAGCATCAGAGTTCTCCTTAGTCTGTGAGTGGAAGACTAAGACGCACAGGCAGGATCACACTTACAAAACAGCACATTCTTGGCTTGCAGCCACATTCAAATTCGCTAATAGCAGTAGTTTTCTGTAACTGCCAGGAGAGATAAAGCAAGCAGTGACATTTTAACTGTTTTGTGCTGCAAACAGTTCACGCTCCCAGAAGTTCAGCAGAATTCAGTGGAAGCCTAATTAGGGATGATACATCCTAAACTTCACTCTCATTATGTTTTTAATTCTTTCATAGTTCTTCCACAAATCCTGAAGTTGTTTTAAGAGAAACTTTAACATCAGCATTTAGCTCATGTGCAAGTTTCTTCTTCAGGATTGCAGACACCAGTTTTTTGTTCTTAGTTTCAACTGTACGCGTATTTCTCCTCTCCAAACACTATTAACATATAATATTAATATTAAGCAGTATGAAGGATATGTCTGCTTTTGGTTCAGTGCAGTTTGATGGTAGAAGGTGCCTTGGTTAAGCAAATCCAAACCATTAAACAAGATTAAATAATATATCACTAGGTGTACCCAGGATCAGGAGATGGCAGCAAAACCCTGAAGAGATGTTTGATTCTTCATGTCAGTAATAGAAATGTTTTAACTGCAAGCCAGAATTAATAAATCATTAACATGTGAGATTCTAGTAAGAAAAACAAGGGATTGTCTGACACTGATTATACAACAAGGAATTGTATGAAAAACGGTTGAATTACATGGACTGGAGAATTGACACCATTAAAACCTGAAACGGCATTCATAATTAATATAATTAACTTTCCAGAACAGGAACACTCCAAGTCAGAGAAGGCTCCAGCAGAACTTCTCAAGTTGGATGGAATAGTATCAATGGATGCATTGCAAGGTTCAGCAAATTGGACTGTAGCCTGATAATTAGACAAGTTTATATATAATGCTATATATATATCAATGATATTGGATGCAGAATAGCTTATCAGATACGGTTTGGAAACATGAGCCATGAGTAAGACATCCAGGAAAGAATTCAAAGTAAAACAAAATTTGAAATGTCAATATTACGGGTAAATTGTTGTCGGGTAAATTGTTGTCAGGCAAATTGTTGTATTTCTGCTCAATGAACTTTATTCAGTTTCTGCTTCATAACTGAGAAATCGGTGGTCTGAATGGCAGAACGGATGTCAGTGTGGTCTGCAGTAAGGAAAACGGAGACTGAGCAAGAAGAACAAGAGATATTTGGTGAAGGGACAAAATTGAGCTTTGTTATTTATCAAAGCTCTATGAATATTCAAAATAGCTTATGCACAGCAAAACCAGCCATGGCAAGCTCAGTGAGCATGTAGGAGAATAAAAAGCTCAGACCTGAAGATGTCTGTCTACATCATGTATGTACCGTTATGATGGGGGGTTGGAAACAGATGATCTTGAAGGACTTTTCCAAACCAAACCAGTCTAAGATTCTGTGAGAGCTGGATCCTGAGGGGAAATTCTCATATACCAGAAAATCGTAAAGGTGGCTTCACAGAAAAATACCGAGAACTCTACAGACTGCAGAAGTTTACAAGTTGAAGGGAAAAAGCTGATGTATTTTTAGATTTTTATAAATGTAATGAAAGAAGAGTTAAAATCACATGAAGTGCAGCTAAAAAAAATCAGAAACTGCTAAGAGGACTCACAAGCAGATTGCTCATGAAGCTGAAAATATCGTAAGTCCTATTTCCTCAGGAAAATAACAACAAAAAATGTTTAACATATTTTAATATTTATTCATGTTAATGTATTCAAGCTCCATGTGCCCTACATGAACATGATAGATTTCTACCATATCAGTCAGAATTATGGAGTCTCCAGAGCTCTTCTTTGCTTTAACAAACTAGAATTCTATTACAGGTTGCATCTGTAATAGGAAGAACAGTCAAATACTGTGTACACATGAACGTGCACGTTCTTTCAATAAAATCATTTGCATAACTCATTTACTGTACCTAGATATATTTCAGAGTTTTGCTGAACAACAAATTTCAGAGGGTTTTGCAATTATAATAGGAAAAAGTGAGAAAATAAAAATATGCTTCTAATAAATTAATCTGGTTTTACACATTTTCCAGTATCCTCAATTTGCAATGACTGAAACATTATATTTTCCAGTGTCCTCAGTCTGCAATGACTGAAACAGATTTTTTTGCTGGTTCCAGTTCCATTCAGCCGGTCCTTTGTGCTAGCCACAAGCCTGTCTGCTGGAATTCTATAAAGATGAAACAGTAACACAAAAATCTAGCAAGCATTTACAATGCCTCTGGAAAATAAAAGATGCCTACAACGATTTATTTCACTTGCACCAACAATGCTGGAATTTGAGACAGAAAAAAACTGATAATATTGATTGTACTCTTATCAGACTAAAATCAAGGAAATAAAAAACTTGACTGGAGGCAGCTGTGTAAGTATTTTGGAACCCATTCAAATATATTAAAAAAAAAATCGCTATTCGCTAGGAAATTTTCTAAATAAGTGTCTGGTAAACTCTTTTGTAAATGTAACGTGATCCAAGCTGCGTGCCAAAATCCGGAGAACACAGCTCAATGCTCTGAACAGAGTGGAAGACACCTGAGATTGCTCTGTTATTATGCAAGAATCTCAGGTATGCACGACAAAAGCAGCAGTGTCAGGAGGTGAAGCACACCAAAGCAGCTTCTGCACACGCACAGCTAAACATATTTAAACAGGAATTCTCAGATTGTCCTGTAGGGCTGGACACATTTTGAAGAGAAACTGGCTCAGTTGAACTTCCCATTAATGATCATGTAACATCTTTGTGCCAGATACAGCAATTGCCTGCATGGAAAAATAATTTTAGGAAAGTATTTAATATGTTTTAGCTGCCTTGTAACAACAACTTAGCAACCGAAGAGAGACGTGCCAACACCTTGTGATCAGCTAAATCTTTAGAGGCAACCAGGAAGATACTGTGCGTCCACAGTGCTCCGCAGATGTGGTACCACCCGAGATGTCTTTCTACTGCTGCATTCCCCGAAAGTGATATGGGATGCAGTTTTTGCAGATTTCCAACCATGTCAGCAAAGCAGAAGGCATTCTCTCAGCAATACCAGTCAAGTCTACAGTGTTTTGGGGACTAGTGTGTCTTATTTCTTCCTGCCCTTTTCTACCAGAGAAACTCGTGGGAGAAAATTAAAGGGAGAAGGGCATTTAACCTGCCTAAATTTAAACCCATAGCCATCTTTTGCTAGTTTGTCTCTTAGATTTTCAGACTTGAGCTGATTTAATGATTTTGGGATGCTTAGCTCTTAACCAAAGTCATGCTGGAGAATGTCTTCTGGATATGGTTGTCTCCCTTGGGTTTAGAAAAAGCAGTGACCCATGAAAGCTCTTCATTCTCTCCTTAGTTTCATCTCATTTGCTACCACGTGGGAGTGTTCAGTTTACAGGAGTTACTTCGTTCTGGGTTTGTGGAGAATAAGCTCTTTTTCAAAACCAATGTAGGGCTCAACATACTCTTGCCAGACCCTACAATAGGAAAAATAAGGGTAATATGTGGATGGGTACAATGGCAATTCAATTTTCTGGCTGGAAGCCTTGTTTTGTTTTGTTGCTTAGTGTCTGTCAGCACTTTCATCCTGAGGAATTTAAGTTTCTGCTACAACAGAAAAGACACAGATGAAAGTTTGCATATAAAGTATCAGAACTCAGAACTGGTTTATTTTTATTAATTTTCCAAATGAGGTTAAGTCTGAAGATATGAAAAAGTCCTTGGGTGGTACTCAGCATAAAAAGAAGAAAATTATTGGCTTGGCATTTGTTTAATCTTGTGAAAGATTTATTTAAAAGGAAAGTGAGATAAATACTTGAAATATGATCTCAAAAGAAGCCCACAAAAATATGTATTCATCCAGAAACTGGGCTACATTTTGAGGTGTCTAGCACCTCTAGGCACTGTAATCACTCTACTGCCTTTGAGATAATTTATCCTAAAAAAACCCACATATGTTCAACCAGTTTCCTTTCAGGAATGCTTTAGCTGCTGACGGATCACAAAAGGAAGGATCACATCCCAAGTCTTTGAAGATATGGGTAAAAAGGAAGTAATTGTTAATGATTTGCTGATCTAAACCAAAAATGATTGACAACATAATAAAACCATGTAATCCTGCAGTGTGCCAAAAAACCACAATTCTAAATTGAATAGGAACAAATGTCAGAGAAGGTCAAACGAGATTAGCTGCGTCATATACTACACAGCTACATTTGCCTAGTAATAAATGACCTGCCCCAAGAAATGAGAGAAAAATTGGAAGAAACTGATAGTCCTTTAGAACTGCTTATGTGTCTCAATGAACTTTTGGCACTGTCAAACACTTCTCTCGAAATGTTACTTGAAGACGATGCAGAAAATCCCCACAAAGTACGGGAAGATGAAAGCTGTCCAAAACCACCTGTAAAGATGTATTCTGAGATTAGCCAACAACTGTATGAGTACAGCCTGGTATAGACGAGGGCTGCACTCTTGCAAGCTGACTGCCCTCTGCACTAAATGTTGGTTTCTGTGGACATTAGACAGCACTGCTGTTGCAAACATATGTATTTATAATACCAGTGTATTCCCCTTCTTGGAAAAGACTGGAAGAATCCTCGGCATGTTTTGTTATATGAAAAATAAACCTGTTAAGCATAGATTCACTGAATGAGTCAAGTCTCTTCATTTCACACCCAGGTAGGACTGCAGACTTCTGGGGAAGCCACCGCTGCGTTTGATAGCCCCCAAGCCCTGTTCATCTCTCAGCCCTACCTTACAGCGTTACTCGTCCTGCGCCCTCCTGAGCTCACCCTCTGCAGACTTCACAGATTCACTGTCTCGGTGTGTGGCTCCGGAGCTCCCCAAAGCCAAACCAAGGCCAAACCCTAACTCAGGGTCACACGTTTCGTGAGGGCCACCGCTGTTCCCCGGCCACTGCAGGGCAGCACCGTATCTGTCCCTGGGCCACCCCCCCCCCCACCGGACCCCATCCGCCCCCTCCCGCCGGTCCCCCCGTCACAGGGCGTCACGCGACCCCTGCGGGGCGGGCAGCCGCCTTCCCCCGCGGCCAATCAGTGTTCGTCTTTGCGCGGTCCTCCCTGCTCTAGCCAATAGACCGCGAGCTTTTCCGTAGCGTGTGTGTGTGTGTACGGGCATTGGGGTGGTGGTGTTGGGGTCGGGCCTGGCGAGCAACCGTTGGGCTCCACGAGCCGCGGAGCTCCGCCCCGGTGGGAGGGGCCCGGTTGCGCCCGGTCCGGCCCGGCCCAGCGCGGCAGCGGTGATGGGGAGAGCGGCTCGGCGGTTAGAGTGAGGTTGTGGCGTGCTCGTCGCCACCACCCGGGAGTCCTGGCCGCAGGTAGGAGCCGCAGTGCCGTGGGGTGGTGCCACGAGCGGGGGTCCGGGAGTTGGCGGGGGTCCGGGAGTTGGCGGGGGTGTACCACGTTCCACCAGAGCCAGGGCGGGGGGCTCTGAGAGGTGCGATGGGGCTGCGCTGTGCCGGTGGGACCGCGCTGGCGGTGTGGAGGGAAGGGGGCTGGCTGGCGAGTGAGGTGATGAGGCAGGTGGTGGGCTGTGGGCGCTCGGCCCCAGGGGTGTGTGTGTGTGTGTGTGTGTGTGTGTGAGTGTGAGTGAGGAGGGTCTGTGCCCCCCGCGCGGGGCGCCGGTTTCAAGATGGCCCCCTCCCCCTGACCGGCCGCCGCCGCCCTCAGGGGGAGCCCCCTGGGCACGTGCGAGGCGCCGACGGGTGGGTACCGCCGGGCGGAGGCTGCCCTCGGGCTGAGGAGGCGGCGGCGGCGGAACCGTGAGGGGGGTTTCGACCCTCGCCCGCGGGGGCAGGCCTGGAACGGAGACACCCCGCCGCTCAGCGGGCACCGCGGTGACATCCACCTCGGTGCGGAGAGGTTGCGGGGAGAGGAGAGCTCGGTCACGGATGGTTCTCGGCTGTGCCTCGCTTTTAAACCCTGCCGGGCTGTCGGGAGGAGGTGAGCAGAGCTCTTTAATAGCGAGTAATGGATGTGACTGGAGCAGTCAGTGATATCAGAGTACGCGGTCGGACTCGGGAGACCTGTAAACTTTAATTTATAGGTTATCAGTACCGTGAGGTGTTTCTGTGAATTGGCTGAGAATAACTTAATTCACCTCTGAAAACAGCTTCCTGCTGATATCGTTAATGCCTGCGTTTAGTCTGCGTTGAGCAATAAACAGCACTATTAATTTGGCGTGTTGGAGGCGAGGAACGTAAATGATGATATTTTATGTAAGAGCTTGCAAGAGCAGTAGGTGCCTTTGCATGCTACTTCTGTGCTTTCACCTCTGCATCCCGGGCTTTGCTTTATTTAATGCGCATTTATAACAAACCACCTTTCTGCATTTCCAGAGGTTTTTTTCTGACTTGATTTCTCGAACAGCTTGGCACATCTTTGCCTTTTAGTTGCTCTAAATAGACTGGAATAACTTCAGGGGCAGTAGTTTCCAGTGATTTTCAGAGTCCTTCCTTTTGAAGGAGGCTGTGTAGTCTGGACAGTGGTGATTAGCATCTTTAGACCTCATGATTATCTTCAGTATTTGAATTCAGCATTTGTTTTTTACAGTTAAGTTTTTTGGATGAGGTTTAGAGTTCTTATTTTAAGTTTACTTAGGTCAAGAGCCTCATTGTAACGAGGCATGTTTTTTTCTGTCAAACCTGTCTTTTGTAGGTGTTCATTTTATAATATAGCAATTAAAATTTTGGTATAAGGTATTGTCATCATCCTTCAGGTCCCTCTTGCAGAGGAATGTTTACATCTTGGCTATATTTACAAAAAGATCTTTACAGCTAGCTTATTCACTTACTGAAAGTATTGTTTGCTCTACTTCATGTGGATGTTCAAATCTTTAATCTCACTTAGAATTAACATTCGAATTTTGCTAGATATCAGTGTTTGGATTGAATAAGGAGGTTTTTTTCTTTATTCAGAATGGGTGATTGCATCTAGCTTCTAAAAGCTGTTTTAAAACGGCAGTTAATTTAGGTTTTGGGATTTAATCTCTTCGAGCACTGGGATGAATGAATGAGACTCATCAGTTTCAAGTGTGCCTGTTTGTTCATTGAAATGGAAAGGATTAAAGTGGTAACCGAAACAGTGAAAAGTTGATTTAAATTATGTCAGACTCAGAATAGCTTTGGGCCTTAAATGTGAATGTGTTTTTATGTGTACACTTAAGAGAAGACATAGGAAATCCCAGAGCTGCAGATTGCTGTCAACTGGCAAAGTGCATCAAGGAAAGACTGCGGTATGTTTACTCTGTTCTTGTTCTCTTCTTCAGGCACCTATTAGCAGTCCTTATGAGACATGGGATATTGTGTTAGATGGATCTGGGACCTGAGCTAGTACGGCATTTTTGTCTGTTTTAAAGTGTTTTCTGTGTAGTAGTATGCCGTTTTGAATTTAGATTTTAAGTTAGGCAGGAGACAGAGCTGCAAGTTACTAAGAGTATAGTATAAAAGTCAATACCAGGTATGGATAAAGCAGGCTGATGAATGTACAGTTACTTTGGATGCTTATTTACATTTTTGTTAACATTCATAGGACATCCCAACTCCCGATAGGAAATGGTCACAAGTATGTTTTGTAAGTGGCAACTTCCCGTGCTTCCCCGAGTGCCCTGTTGGGAGTACTGTGCTTCTCACGAAAACGTTGTTGGAATCTGCTGCAACTCCCAAATGTTCTTATGATGTTGTAATGTTTTTTTTTCACTGAAACCCCAGCCTTAGTTCTCCTTTTCTGTGCCAAATATCCCCTTTTTATGTGGCAAGTCCGTGGGCATCTGTGAGCCTTTCATTTATCTCTAGCATATGAAAAGGAGCGAGGGGATCTACATAAAATAGTTCAGTAGCATGTTCCTTCTAAACTGATTCTTCTGTGTTAAGGTTTACTGTAGAACTTGCTATGATAATAAGTAAAAGCAGGGAGAAAATCCAGTCTTACTGCTTGCAGAGTGTCTGTTAGTTGTCTTCTAGAGTATATTTTGGAAAATTGTTGTGGTGAATTAGCAAGTTTCACTGTCTAGAGCTACGTGAATAATGTGTGGGAGTCACAAAAGCTTCCCACATAGTTGCGGTAATTCAGTTTAACCCCAACCTGTGGTGTAACCCCAACCACTCTTCCTTCAAGTGACCCCATCTCTTGAAAAGTTTTGATCCTGATTGCCCCTGTTTTCTTTTTCATTCAGGAAAAGAGACAGGTCTATTAACAAAGTTCATTTATACCTTTGAGCGGATCATGGGTGTTTATATCACACAGTGATATCCAATACAGTGCTTTCCCCTGTAGTACGAAAGTGGAGACAAGGAGCAAGCACTTTACAGTGCAATACCCCTAGCATCCTGTGACAGTTCAGTTCACTAGCTCTGCCCCAGTTCATGCTGACTGCATGGCAGGATTGAGACAGAGAACAGCTCTGACTCCACATCTGCATATTTTACAGAACCATTTTGAGCTTTACCACGAGGTATTTGGTAAATTCTTTGACAACTGAGTTTTTGAAGACGGAGATAATTGATAGCAGTACATTGACATGGTCTTTATTTCAGCTAGCAGCCTTGCACTTAGAGGAAAACCAGCACAAAACAAAACTAGTACATGTCTGAAGATGCACAAAACTGGTGTTTTTGAATACCTATGCTTGTTATGCTTAGCTACCAAAGAAAACAACTTGAATTTTCCTCCCACTTTGGAAGGCTAACAGATTCCATGTGTTCTCAAGCAACAGCATTAAGCAGACTAGTTTCCAGGAGTTCACGTTTTGTCCTGAAAATGGTTTATTAACCTACATTATGAATCATGGGTAGAACCAACCTTATTCTCCCAGTTGTTAGCTCTGGAGAAAAGATGGGTTGCAAATAATGAAAGGGTTTAAGTATATTTAATCTCTTGGGATCACATCTTGTTACTGTGACCCATATCTTGGGTTTTGTCACTTTTCTATTCAGCCATGAAGGCTAATGTGATCTCAGTATTGCTGTTCTTACATTACATACGTGAAATAACAGATCAAGTTAAAATCCAGAGTAGCCCCTTGAAGTATCTAATATTTTAATAGAAGAAAACAAAACCTAAATAACCTTGACAGGGTTTCGCTAGTTTCAAAGAACAAAAATACAAGCTTACTTAGTTCTTAAACTGTGTGAAGTATAGCCAGTGATGTAAACAGCCTGCAACCAAAAGCTCCTGAAATGAATTCATTGTATACGTCTTCAATGACATCAGTATTTAATCATTGAAGCAATCAATAAACTTGAACTACAAACTGTGCTATAGAACTATGAAACTGGAGATGTGAATGTAGTATTTTGCAGGTGCAGAAGAGAAGGTGACATACAAACATAGAAAGACTAGGCCCATATTGATGTTTTCAACTGTGTTTTGGCTTTCTGTTGGGTGCTTGCCACGCATGTAACGGGGCTGCCGTGTTTCTGTTCCCTGCCTGCATTCTGTGGTCTGCTGCACCATTTGTGCTCCTGCAGTTTATTGTCAAGAGGAGACATGAGGTGTTTCCAGTTTATACAAGGAGCAGGCAATGCACAGTGCCAGGTGGAGTGTTGAAAGAGACATTTGCTGAGTGGAAATGCATACAGCTAGTAATGGTTTTATGGTTATTGCTGACTTTGCAAAGCAGAGTGATTAGCTACCATGAAGCAAAGAAATGAGAATCTTTACTACAAGCATGAAATCATAAGTGCTTAAAAGGTTTTTCAAAGTGGACCCATTAAGTACAGTGGGAGAAAGCTTACACCTAATGCTTTGTACCAGAACTTGCATGTTGTTTGCATATAAAATGTGATTATATTTCTGTGAAGTCTTACAGATATTTCTACTTTAGATAAATGCTATCTGTAACCATTTTGAAATAATAATTTTGCTTAATTACTGCTTTAAGACCAATTTGTCTAGGACCAGCATGGAGGCAGAACCAAGTGTGTAACTTGAAATCCCCTCTCCCCCTGGCTTAAATCTCTTCTGACTTTTTTTTTTTTATTTATGCAGAGCTTCATAGCAGAGCAGTGGTTGGGAAGTTAACTACTTAAACCACGCTCCTAACATTTAGAATATAAACATGAAAGTACATAATATTTCTGACGCTGACTAGCACTGGCAGCATGCTATTATTAGCCTTTCTTCTTGCAGGCTTCATAGATTCTCAGCTCCACAGTCTGGAAAATGCATCCTGCGTGCCTGTTGAAGTAAACGTGGCCATTCAGGTATGGTTTCCTTATGATTACTCTTTTGCCCACTGGACTAGGCTGTTGCTTTTTTTCAGCAGTCCCAAATAATGTGTGGGTTAGTATGAAAGACCAAAAAAATTTTTTTATAACACTTAGTATTATTAAATGAAGCTGTGAAACACCCTTGTATTGCTATATGGTCTGATTATTGTTTATTGTGTGTTGCTTTATTGTCTTGTAAAGGCAGTCTCTGTTTTTTTGAGTCAGGAATGACTATATTTTCTTATGCTATTTCATTATGTATGATGGTATAAGTTTTGAAAAAGAAAGTGGGTATTGGTAATACAGCCAACAGCTGATGATTGACTACAAAACACACTGCACTATTAGTTGTATAACAAGTTGAAGTTAAAAGTAAAGTAGAGTAAAACTGGTTCAGAACTAATAATTAAGTCTCAGAACTTGGAAATCTACACATCCATTTATGTAAAGAGCATAGGAAATCTTTATTACATTTGTAATATATTGTGTGGTGGACTGAGCTTGGCTCCAGCAAATGAAGTTGTTTCAAAAGGAGCAATGTCATTTCAGATATGAAATGCAGAGCTGCTGTTGCGCACATAATGCGCTATGAATGCCGTCTTAAGAAACGGACTTGATGTTGCCGATTATAGAGTGGAATATAATGATTTCACACATTACATGTTGTCAAATCAGAAGCTTCAACTGGCAGATGGAGAGGGGTTTTTGTGTTAAACACCTTACAAGTTCAGCTCATAGAAAGCCTTGCTGCTTTTTTTTTTTTTTTTTTTGTTTAATCCACTGCCCAGAGGAGTTGCAAAAAGAGAACTGATCTAAGGAAACAGTTTTAAATTTCTTTTCAGAGGTTTGACAGATACAGTAATGAAGGTTTTCAATAGCTTAATGGATTCTGGGATAGAGATTTTCAATGAATGGCTGTTCATGAGCAGTTAATTATCTCATTGCAATCTGGGTCATTGGGAAGATGTGAACACAGTTAACTTTTGTGTTAGTATTGCATTGTAAAAAGGGGAAAGTTGAAGCTGCATCATCTTTAGCAGTACTGGGGAAGTGACTAAAACCAACTTCTGAGGGAGCAGCTTGCTCCCTTGCTAAAGTCTAATGAGGATACGAAATCGCTATTCTCTAAGTCATATCTAAAAATCCTTGCTCCTCCCCTAATGCTCTTCCTCCCACCAGCCCCAGGCACAGTTACTGCTGCTCCCATAGGGACAAACAGCAGCTCTTTGTTAGCTGCCTTGCCCAGGGCACACCCTGTCCTAGCTTCCCTGTTGCTCCCTTTGCCATCTGTGGATCCTAGAGACCCTGAAAGCTGCCTGATCTCCGAGGTTAATTGATTCAGTCTGTGTTATCTCCAGTACGTATGTGGGTAACCTGTAACTTCAGTCCTGCCAACTTAAGTTCTAACATTTAATTTTGTATGGGGAAAGGAACATCCAGTTTCTACCACAGAGCTGTTGTAGGTTTCTTATTAAGAGACTAGTTACTTCTCCAAAGATCCGATCTGTTCTTCAGCATCAAAATTATACATGCTAGAAATTTTGTCTTGGTATTAGGAAGACACTACAAGTACTATGGGCCAGCAAGTCATAAACTGCCCTGACAGAGCTGCAGTGTGCCACTCCTTGCTTCAAAAGCTTGTAGTGTGTTTGAAATACGATACAGTTACTTGGACTACCTTCCAGCTGCCGCAACCAATCTGAGCAAGGGTATCAAAATGGCAAACGAACCTCAGGGGATAAAACTGTGAATGGCATGCTTTGAGGTAAGTGCTGAGTGGTGCCTTTGGTTCCTCATCTGACTGCTGTAGAAGTCATGTGCCTGGGTCGCGAGACCTGGAGCAGGTCAGGTGAGACACCCTGGGTGCTTCTCAGGGAAGACTATCCAGCTTCAAGAAATCTAAAGCGAGAGTGAAAATCATGTGCAGCAGCTGAGTATTGAGGCAAGATAGAAGTCATCCAGCAAAGATATTTTTGGAAGGAGTGTAGAAAAGATGGATGTTGTCCTTTGTTTAGAACCAATGGCTACAGCTAGCAAATGTGGATGGTTGAATACTGTTGTACTTTCCCTCTGTTCATTCCTCCTGTAAGATAACTACTAGTGGATGGTGGGCATGCTAACACCCAGACTGAAGGAGAAATTGCGACTGAAAATAGCAGATTTCAGGACTGCAAGAGTGGTGAAAAATATCTTCCTGGGCAGTTAGATCTGGAAAGTTCTGCTGCAAGTGCCACGAAGGGAAGGATTTGCAAGGCAGCGACTGGAGGAAATGGGGTCATAGGAACAGTTTGACAATTGGAAAAAAGTTGAGAACTTTATTGTGCCAGCTGTAAATGCCTTTTGTTTTCTAGAAGCTATGAAAAATGTTTTCTAACACTATGTGCTGTATGCAATATTAATTAACTCCTGATTTCATGATAAATACGCGCTTATTACTTAAGATAATTAACATTCCTTCTAGTTAGGGCTTTTTATTGAACTTGTTTACAGTGATAAATGAAGACTGTTAAATACCTTAATTTCAAAAGGAAAAAAGGCTCGGGTAGGATAGAAGGGTGTTGGAAACTGTTATAGAAATATGGCTAAAAGGAAGAATCTGTAGCTGCCATGGCTGTAGAGGAAGAGTTTAAATATTTTATGTACAGAAGCATGTTATAGCACAGTTGTAACACATTCTTACCCTCCCCTCCTAGATACCTGATTTAAAATGTAATCTACAGACATGAATATGACAAATATTAGAATTCTGGAAAGAAACAGACCCACGCCTTCCATGCAGCACAGGAGTCTTAGGTGGTATCTTTTAGGAAAGGTTTGCAAACTCAATAACCTTTTCTCACTGTAGGACCTGGCTGATTTGTTAATTATGTTTAGTAAGTCATAGAATACCAAGGAAACTTCAGAAACTTTGCAAAATCCTATCTTTCATATTTGGAGAAGAGATGGGGAGTGGAGTGTGAGTGAACCAAATCATTACTGGTTGATTATCATCACCTTAAGTGAGAAAAGTAGATGCTGGTTGTTATGTTCTCTGTGTAACAGGAAAATGGGTAGTCTCAACCCATCAACGGAGTTAACTCTTTACCAGTGGTTCACTTCTGGCTCAGCAGACCAAAGACTGTATTAGTTGGTTTTGTTTGTTTTTTTTTTTTTTTTTTTTTCATTTTAATCAGAATCAAAGCATCCAGTAGGAAAGTAGGTTTTAGTTAAATACTGTTTTTACTGCTCTATGAATAGAGATAGACAGTAGCTGTAACAGAGTGCTTAATTCAGTAACTTTGTTGTGTAGGTGGACAACGTAATCGATGACAGTTGAGTAAATGCTACTTCATTAGTGTCAAATTTCCATTTTACTCCCCAGACTTTCAGCTATTTAATGAGTTCTGAGTAGTGGTTTCCTCTTCACATGGGTGATAGCAATTAAATTTGCCAGTAAATGGGAGGCATTCTGGCTGTTTTATCCAAGGACTGAACCCACCTTTTTACATGCTGCTAACTTATATGAGGGAATTTTATGTCCCATCTTATTAAATCACTTATTCTGTCTTCTCCAGTGCTTTCATCTAGCTTGGATATAGCATTAATATTTAAATATCAGTTCAATAGACACATGCATTACTCATCAAAACACTGCAGTTTATTAAAGTAAACCTGCTGTCATTCCAAGTAAAAGTCTTGGGAATGACATGTAGTGCCAGCAGGTGCATTGTTCATTTTCACAGTCAAGTTGAGCTGGTGGTGATACTTCAGGAAGTAAAAACACTTTCTTGATTATATGAATGGAGTATCTTCAGATTTCTGAAAATAAAACATGGCCTGCGTATTAATATGGTCCGAGACCAACAGGCTGTAGGGGTAGCAAAGTGTTCATTTGAGTAATTGGCCCTTCTATGGCTGTTCACTGTGTTTGTATTAACTGTTTCTAGTGTGTCAGGGCAGCTACGTGTGTTAATTGAGATGTCTTTTATTTGCCCACATTGTGAAGATCTAAGTAATAAGTTATCCTTGGTTGTCCAAAAGCAAATCTCATCTTGTATTTGTGGTACTTAAGGCTAAATGTTTGTATAGCTGCTAGTTACCAGCTCATAAGGTCCCTCATCATTAGGATAAAAATGAAGAGTGTGTGCTTTACCCGGTGCATGCAGAGGATGTGGTCAGAGCTGCTGCACTTTGCAGGATTCCAGCACTCTTCTGAGGCTCCTGCCTCCCAGTCTGCAAGACCAGTGCCCTTACTGTGGAAGCCAGATGTCTTCATCCCTTTTCTTGCAGTGGGCTGCTGCTTTTTCACTGGCTGGTCAAATTCAAAGTTTTATTTTCCTTTTATTTAGGTGTACATTTGAGAGGACAGTAAGCAAAGGGCTAAACTTTCCTCTGGTGCCCTCCAGTTACTGGTGGCCTTAAAACTTATGTGTTAGCCATCCAACATGAATTAAAAACATACCATTACCCTTTTCTTCTTTCTAGCAGGGCTTTTCATTCCACCTTGCTGCTATTGCTGCTTTATATCTTCTGGGTAGTGGAAATTGTGTTCTCTTCCTCTGTATCTCTTTTTTACTGCCTCCAGTATAAATGGATTTCTCTGTAAGTCTTGGAACACTTTTTAGAGACCTTACATGTAATATACTGTTCTGTATTAGTAATTGTAGGACCTTTTTTTCTCCAAAACTCGTTCTTGAGTACTCAAAAATGTTATCTCCCCACTTGAATGTGTGACTACACCAATGAGTTTTGATATAGGCATATGTGACAGGACACATGGCTTGCTTCCCTGGTGAACTAAGAATATGCCACAGCCCAATGGAAGGGCTCATGTCTGGTCATCTTTTATCAGATGTTGTGATGTTTTTTACTATGTTGTATTTTCTTTGCTGGATGTAGACTGCAATACGAAAGGTAATCCAAAACCCAGTGTTTACATTATTGCAAAGCCACTTCCAGATTTAGCAAGTAGAAATTACATACACATGGGAGCCTACGAATTTCTTCTTCTTTGT